ACGCTGTGTATATATAGCTGCGACCAGAGAAGTGGAAAGAGAGTAAAAGTAAAGTCATGTGAAAGAGAAGTTTGTTCAAGGAAAAGTTAGAAAACATAAAGTTAACCATCATGGGAGTGAATAGCCTAATGGTTAATATGTTAGAGTGAAATTAACAGTTTGAACGAGATAAGGGTGTTCTAAGCTGTGTGGACTTTGACTAAAGGCAAACGATTATTGAAAATAAAAAGAGCAGACGATTATTGGAAGTATGAAAAGAAGACAATTATTGGAAGTTAAGGATACAACCATGGTAACTCATGTGACAGCGTTAGTGAATTATACCTGGATACTATTGCAATAAAAATAGTTTGGCTTGTCAACTGAATTCTAAAGCAATTGAATTGGCCTAAGTGGACTTTTGACAAGAAGAAAAGAACTTATTGTATTTAAGATACAACTATGATATCCATACTGTAATGAATTTTGTTTAAGTTTAACTTGTTTTAAATATCTATATATTATTTTAAAAACAAATGGAGTGCGTGCTGTTCGTTTATTGTCCAATTTATTGCCAACAAGTCATAGACACCTACTTTAGAAGAATCCTTAGCCTAACACACCCATATGTTTACATTACTATATATACTACTAAAGAGTAGTTTTTGACACAAACACTACATACCTTACTCTCTTATAATGTGTATTTCTTATCTAAAAAACTAAAAAAATATTCTGTGTTCTAATCTGAAACTTGCTAAATCCATTGATGTCATCCTGAGTTTGTTAGTTTCAGTACCTGATCCTGTCAAGAAAATTATTTACTGTTAATAGGATGATTGTATTTTATCCTATGTTGCCTTGTTTATACAAAGAGCAGAGATACTTCTTCACTGTTGTTCCAATTTTCTTATTAGTCAGCTACGGAAAGAAGCTGCTTTGTGAATACAGATTGAAACTTTTAGGGTAGATTCTTTCTGATCTCAGAGAAGACAAGATATGTTTTTGATTTATGACTTACTGGTGCATGAAATCTCATCTGGTTTGCATGATAATTTTTTCTGCTGCTGATTGTGTATTTATTTCTTGCTACAATCAGTTTGATTCTTCCATTTATTTTATTTCACATTTATCCATCGCAGTGCAATAATTCTGCCACTTAAACATTAATTTTGTAATCTTAAACCCCTCTATTTTTTTAAATAACGGGTTTTATTTTCATTCTGATTTCAACACTATATAGTGTGTCCTTCAATCCCTTGCAAAATATCACATAACTCACCCTTCTGCATACTAGACCCTCAGAATCTTAGGTTTTGCAGAGATTAGGTAGCTGTGAGCTGAGTTTAATCTTGAGATTACCACAATTCATTGTATAGAATGCATTCTCCAAGATAACCATAACAACCATGGAACTGACTTCATGATTATATTCACACAATATAAATGCAAGTCTTATTAACATCTTCCTGAAGGAAAGCACATGATAATAAATCTTTTAAATGAGTTATTGGTACTGAATAACATTTAAAAAACTGTAAAGGAAACCTCGTATTAATATTTTCCTGACACAAACATGACAATCACATTTTAATGTGCTAATAAGACCATAAGCATATATAGAACAACACAAGTGTAAGCCACGATATAATAGTTTAATGTTGGAAAATTCACGATATGTGAAAACATATATATGTTTTAACCCATTCACTGCAGCAAGGATAAATATTTCCCAGTGTACCGGAAATATACGCCCCAGCCACAGTGAAAGGGTTAAATGTTTTATTCAACATATAACCACATTTTCAACTCATCTAAACATATATCTTACCACTTAGATCTTCCTGAGACAAGCCCATGATTTCCATGGCTTTAACTGTACTTTTGAATTCTTGGCTTTCAACAATTCCTGGAACTTGGATATTCCCATTGGAAAAGAATTTGTAATTTTTCATGTCTTCCAGAAGGTATTCTTCTGTTTATTAAAGTAGTGGAAGAAATTATTTAACTTGCATTAAGTTTCACCCCAAATATTTATTAAGTTTACAGCAATAAAGTAAATTATCTAATTGCACTCAAAACTTCCAATAATTCTTCTGTTTATAACTAATAAAAAAAATCTAACAGCACTAATTCCTCTTTTGTTTACAACAATATTTTATTTACAGTAGTAGAATAAGATATCTAGCAGCCCTAAATTTCAAACTTTTTTTCTTGTGTTTACAACAGTAGAACAGATTACTTAATCTGCACAACATTTTTAACAAATATGACTGTAATAAAATTCTAACAGTTTACTGCACAAGTACTTAAACACAGGAGTTTCTACACATTAAACATCAGTTTTTTACTCTGAATTCATTATAAAACTGATGTGATAAAAATCAGGTAATAATTACAGTATAAAAGAAAGAAAATGATAACTTAATGGATATCTAAATCATTCTTTATAATATCTTTACCTAAACATAAATTATTGTTAAAGGATCAAAAATTCATGTTTGTTTTTCAAAAGGAAGGATATTAAACCTACATAGGAACTATGGTAAAAATCACAGAATGTCAAATTATTTTAAAAATTACTTTTCATAAGTATCTCAAATAGCAGAGCCAAAATATATCTAGATTAAAATCAACAATGTTAACCTGTAGTAAAAAAGTGTGTGAAACTTCCCAGTTTTCTAGTCAATGTTAGTACTCAATATTTTCTGAAAATATCACTTTTCTAAAAATCACAAAATATAAAACATATTAAGCAGACACTTGATAGTGAAATACATTTCTGTAACTAGCTGAGAATTGAGAGCTGTAGTTTTGAGTTGTGACATCTCTCATCAGTCCAACATCAATGTCAAAGAATATTATCCAGCAAGACTTTGTATGATTTTTACAAAGGAAAAGTAAAAAAGATTATTATGAAAAGATTAAACAAAATTTTCTACTAATTTACTACTTTTCTTTTACATAACTAAGGTTATTAAAGCTGATGCACACGGAATTGGTACTGAAGTTTCAGCTAGCCATATTTTGGGTTTTGAGCTTAATAGCTTCATGCTGTCAGTCTTCTTAAGGATTACTTACTTCACGAGGTCCAACAATAACAAAGAACAAAAACCCTTTTTACATATTAATTCTTAGTAATGGCTTAACCTTTATGACATTAAAAAATATACTAAGAATAGAAACAGAATTTGTAATTTAAAATACGAACACTTTCACAGTTTAGATTTTATATGTAACTTATAATCACTTTGAAACATATTCCTATGTTAAATACATCAACAACAATAGCACAGAATACATTAGCAACAATAGCACATAATACATCAGCAACACTAAAACAGAATTTAACAGCAACAGCAGCACAGAAAAAAAATCAAGACTACTAGCACAGAACACAATTACTATAATGTCTAGTAGTAGCTTATTTGTAATATAAACAACAATAAAACTAGATGAAACACATAATTCCATCACTTTTTTTGGAACATTATAGAGTTTATAACTGACTTCATTTTCATTATGTATAGAAAAATACTTAGAAATGTACTACATTATGCAACATAGGATGAAAACATTCATTTCATAAAATACATTTGAAGATTAAAACCAACAGTTATGGTAGAGAATATGGATACCTTTTATAAGTTATTGCTAACAGCTCATATACTTTTATTAGCTAAGTAATTAAAGCAAAACAACAGGATTATTCACTTATTGTAGATTAAGATCAAAATGTTACTGTAACACAGAATATATGATATTTATTTGTGATAATATTAAATAAATATTATTAACATACTTTTTTTTTACCTTCTTTAAGTATACCTATATTATGACTAACACCTGTAACTTTGGATCCAAGTGGGTACAGGTTAGTTATTATATGTAACTTATAAAGAATATTGAAAGATCAGAATCAACATTCATTAATATTACACTTTTTATCAAGATTATTATTTATGAGCTATCATCATGAAACACAATATACCTAGAATAAAACTAGCAATGCCTCATAATAAATATTGTCTTACTTAACATGAAACACAATATACCTAGAATAAAACTAGCAATGCCTCATAATAAATGTTGTCTTACTTAACATGAAACACAATATACCTAGATTAAAACTAGCAATGTCTCATAATAAATGTTGTCTTACTTAACATGAAACACAATATACCTAGAATAAAACTAGCAATGCCTCATAATTTCTTTTTAAAACAGTTTACAGCCATGTTAAGTAAGACAACATTTCTAGGTTAAAACATAAAATACAAGAACTTTTTACACATGTTCCTTTACAAACTGCTTACTCTTCTGTTCTGGAGAAGCACCATTAAGCAGTTGATAAAATATGTGAAAGGTGCGTTCATCTTTTGCTTGACGAATGGCTCGAGATTTTTCCAAAAGATCTGAACTACATTAAGGTAAAAAGACTATTCTTGTGATACTGAGTTAGTAAAAACTGTCTTACTAGCACACATTATGGAGTTAACCTTCTAACTCAGTACAGCACTTGTGTCTGGTGTGATCATGCTCTCAAAAACTAGTAAATGCTAGTGGGTTAATCCTTTAGTACAGTTCTTAGAACACCTGTCTGGTATGCAAGAGGTGCAGGTTGAAATCTTGCATGAGGGAGACAAATAAAAATTGGATTACTACAACAAAAACTTGCACCCAACTGGTGATTGTTCCATGACCCAGAGATAACGTCCAAGGATGGGTCTTGTTTATGGGAGGAGAAGAATGTGGTAGTTTGAGTTACCTCACTAGAAGTGCTCAGCTGATCCATCGTTTGTCTGACATGGGAGAAGTGCAGGTTTGATCATAGATTATCAAGGATGGGTCTTGTTTATGGGAGGAGAAGAATGTGGTAGTTTGAGTTACCTCACTAGAAGTGCTCAGCTGATCCATCGTTTGTCTGACATGGGAGGTTTGATCATAGATTATCAAGGATGGGTCTTGTTTATGGGAGGAGAAGAATGTGGTAGTTTGAGTTACCTCACTACAAGTGCTCAGCTGATCCATCGTTTGTCTGACATGGGAGGTTTGATCATAGATTATCTCACCAATAAAGCATATATACATATAGTATCAAACATAATCACAGTAACACATAGAAGTCACATATAAGTTACAAACAATGAGTAACTACAATTAAATGGTCAACTTATAATTAATAAAACATATTATTACAGAAAAGCAAGTAAGTTGTACAATGCTCTAGTATTCTGCATTAAACAGAAAGTATATATTGTGTTTTATACCACCATATGTTTATCAGTGTATCAAGGTAAAAAGTTTTTCAGAATGCCTTGTACTACTTCCAACAATTCAACCAATTCACACTTTACAGCGTAATTAACCGAAAACCATAAAAATGCCCTATCTCCCCATTATAAAAAATGCTTCACAGTGATCCAGAATCCGGGTCCGGATTTGGATCAAATTTGGGGAGGACTTTCCCATACTGTCTTTCCATTTTGTGTAAAATTTTCGTTTACGTCGATCTAATAGTTTTTAAAATATGCACATGGAAACACACACACACACACACAAACCTGATTGCAATACCCTCACGGGGCAAGGGTAAACACTGATTTTTAAACATCTGTCGTGATAAAATATAATATTTCACTAAAGGATACAGGTTTCAATGTTGGCACCCGCAATAAATCCAGAGGCATCAAAATTAATGCGAATAAACTTTCCCTAATATTTTAAAATAAAAAGAACATTGTTAGCTTGAAACAGGAAACAGTATTTGAAATTTTAGATTATAATTAAGTCAAAACTTAAACTCAAATAAATAGTTCCACCTCATTCAAAAGAAACTGAAACAGTCTTACTAATTCCTATATATAAAATCTTAAGCATGTATTTCCTAAAAACTAACAGTATATTCTAAATATCACTTATACATTAATCTATGAAACATAAATAGTGGTAGTTAACCAATATTCATCTTATACCCATTAAAATTAGTTACTACCTAATGATAATACACTCAAAAATCAGAAGAAGGTTAGATAATTATCACTTATTCACAGCATATACAAGTAAATAATGATTAAGACAGCAAAACACGAGTCTTGTTTGAATTATATATGTTTTTTAAGCATACTAAGTTAATATACAAAAGAATTTCATAAAATAAGAGCTTATTTCAACACTGAAACACACAGACAATGAATCAAAAATTATGATTTCTTTTGTATTACTAACTCCTAGAACACAACTATGAATATCACATTCTAATTTCAAGTTGTTACATACTGTTGAAGTCCAAGTTAGCCCATTAGAAGTTGACCTATTTCAGGAACTGTGTGATGCACAACAAGACTGATTTTTTGTTTTCAAGAAATATACTTATTTCAAAGTTATAAAACTTAAAGTGGTATTTGAAGAAAAAATATAAGACAATAGTTTTCAAATTTGATGCTCAAAAACTAGCATATTTGTTCTGTATCACATATTTCACAGTGCAAGCTGAGGCCCTTTACTACATGATGTACACAAGCTGCTAAGCTCATAATTCTATACAAATCAACCCAACTGGAAATGGCAGGTTATTAGCCACTAACAATACTTCTACAAGCACCCCTCCCCTTCCATTAATCAAACGTTTGTTAGTTTCTTATAGACTTCAGGAAAATAAAGAAAGAAACAAAAAAAAACATAAGTGTGTACTCTTCAAACTAAAATGGAGATACATACAAGAGCTCTTAGTGGTGGTGGTGGTTAACAATACATTTTACTTTAATGAAGTTACAATATCATTATAAACTACAACTTTTGAATTTAACTGAAGAATTTCACAGGAGATTACCTCACTACAAATAACTGTTTTGACAATAAAAATGTCATACCTACCTTATGGTCCACAAGACCAAAGTAAAGAAATGTTTGAACTGGAGATGACACATTATTAACCACTTACAATATTCCTACAACCATACCCACCCTCAATTAATCATGGTTCATTAGTTTCCATTTCTCATGTACCAAACTTAATACACTGGAACTCTTTAAGGGGAGTCAAACAGCTATATGAGGTATACGAAAACTCACTGTGGTACAGTATGCAGTTAAAACAAAATGTTAGTGAAAAAAGCAGATGTGCTTTAGGTTAGATCATGGTGAGCAGATAAACCTTGAAACGTTACACTTGTCCATTGAACCATTTTTGGTGGTAATCATGTTTTCTGGCTAATTCAAGGCAAAACATTCCTATTAATAGTCCTGTAATATCACTCATTATTCTATCAACATTATGAAACTACCTCTGCCAAACTGGGGTCAATTACACCTCTACTTTCTTGTGAAATATACTCAGGTTTCAGTTTTGATTAAAACCAGTTTTCTTTGACCAGTATTATTTGTGTGCAAGTAAATTACTAAAACAAATAACATACAAAAGAATGCTGTTCCGTTCCTATGGTACTATGACAACATCACAGCTATAATAAGTATCACTAACTTAGTGCAGATAATTTATTCTGCCTACATTTTAGCCAACATTAATTCTTACCTGATTATGAACTATTATACTTTCACAAATACCGTACGTGTATATACATATAAGTACAAAGACTGATTATTCTACTACAAAACAAGAAGCACACGAATTGCAAAAAAGTTAGAATAGTTTGCTTACAAATCTTGAGGAATTGTCATTTTTAACTGTCTTGGCATTTCCAAAAGCTTCCAAAATAGGGTTGGCCTGCAAGAGTTGTTGTTCTAGTTCACCCTATAATTAAGAAAAGTGTCTTAACATATAATAACTGTACACACACATGCTTTGGTATTGAGTGAGAACAAAAATTAGAAAACCAAAAGAAAATTTACTCTAGGATGTAGAAAATACAAGAGGACCCCCGAAAAATCAAAATACAATATCTTAATAACAGGTTTACTAACTCCACTAAATTAGATTTATTACCAATGAGGCAGGCCAATAAAACCACACATCTCCACAAACTCTTACAGATTCCTCACTGTATGTGAACCCTGGCTTCCAAGACCATATTTGAATAGATCGAAGGCATAAAACGTCCAGTGGAGGTGCTAAACGGAACATTGCACATATATGTTGCGATTCCAGTTTCTTCAGCCATCATTTTCATTTAAAAAAATAGTCACTGATTTTTGAGGTGTGGCTGGAAGTTTGTGAGCATTTATCTACTTCAAATCCTTATTATTATCTTGTCAGCATATACAGCTTAATCATAAAAGTTTAATTTTTTTAGCACAAAGGATTCTCTTTCATAACTATGGCCTTCACTCTATGGATGATGGGCATCAGCACTGCAACAGATAGGCTAAGGGTATGTTATAAATGCTCTGCTGTATGAGTTTTTCTGCTTCCATAGATAATATTGAAAGTTCTCTTCTTTGGAAATGTGTGTTCTTTGGCTTTATGTCATTTAACAATCTTGCTGTATGAATAACCTTTCTTAGAAAAGGCTATTACATAACCTCAAAGAACAAATTTATCAATGGTGGCATGAATAGATATATATAGAAATAATAAAAACTTGGCCACAAACCTAATAAAGAGCTGCTATTAAGTATGTCACCAATGGCACCATGGTTCACACCTGCAGTGACATGCCACAGTCACAGTTCACACACTATTGGCAGAATGAAATTCCCAGACTTATCTCAGATCATTCCCTCCACCAAAATATGCTAATCCCTAATCATTTGATCTGTACTTTTAATGTACCATTTACCTAGAATAAAATGTAAAATTGTAAAATATTGTTCAGGTGCTTTTTGATAAAGATGAAAGAATTGTGTGTTAAGAGTCTAGTCTGCTTGAATGTCATCTTGCAAAGTTTCGATATAATCAATCGTGCCCTTCTCAGATTGTTCAGACACAACTTCAACTTTATAAATAACATTCAAAGGCAGTTTTTCCATTTCTTTATTATAGTTCTTACCAATCATGATTTTTAATATTGATTTTAACCATAGAAACGTTATTAAAACATAAAAAAAACTATACATTTTAACTTTATTTGGGCATTATTTAAATAAATAAATAAATATTTAGTGCAGTAGTACCATTAATATAAAACAGTTGGGTTATATATTACTATTACGATATTGTTGCGTATCTGCTTGTTCGTTAGTTTCCGGTATAAAGAGGAACTTCAGCGATACAAGTCCTTTCTTAATTAAAACTAGTTTATTCTTTCTCGTTACAACTTTTAGTAATACACAATATTTCCACAGTCAATACATTTGCAACCTCGATAACAAAACACACACTTTATATTACCGTCACTACCGTTC